TCTTGGGGATAGAGTTAGTCCTAAGTATGCTTTCTACTTCTTGATTTATGTATTTTTGAGGGGATTTGTATTGTAATTCATGTCTTGACACTTTTGTATATATAGATCTTGTTTCTTCAATGATTTATATGGTTTAATACTTCCAATTGATCATTTCATTTTATCCATTTGTCTATGTATGCTAGAATAGATGTTCATGTGTTTGTCTCTATTTCTTGTGTTATTGATACATGTCTATGTATGTTGATGCTTTGGATCTAGAGATTGTCAAGACATAATGCTTAAATGTCATGTTCTTGTGGTTTATTTGATGGTTCATACTCATTTTTTAATGGATTGTGCCTCTCTATTAGTTTAATTAGTTTAATTTCATGCCATTAGCTTAGTTGTTGTGTAGTTGTTAAATGTGAGGACAATCCATACTTGTTGTTGATGTTCCATACTTATGAAAAACAAGTAACATATATCTTTAACCTTGTGATGTGTTTGGATTGTGAGCTTAAAGAAATGATTAATGGCTTAATTTGATATGTTGTGCTATCCACCATGTTGTTTAGACAATATATGCTTAATTTGTCATCCATGCTTGTTGAAACAACCACACACACACACTACATTGCAATACATGTTCTTCCCCTCAGTAATCATTCATTAAAGGTGTAGAAAAGTTATGCTTAGTGGTGATCTCTAAACTCCAAGATCTCTCTCTATCTTTTATTCTCTCTATTGCATTATTGCATACTTTAGTTTAATTTGCATCTAGTTTAATTCAACCAACCAATCACTATTTTGATCACTCGACCTACTAACCCTAATTTTGATTCCTCAAGTTAGTACGACAACTCAATCCCTTGGGACGATCCCTTCTCACTCATACTATATAGTATATGTGTTAAGCGGTTTATAAATTTAAATTATGATGCCCACTTGGCACTAATTTCCAAACTCAAAGTTTTGTGTATTGTTTTGCGCGATCACCGAGACCGCACCAAAAGGATCCAAAACCCACCGGGTATCAAAATGAAATTGACAAGCTTTCTTAGAAAAAGCCGGTGAAAGTTGAAGAAACAATGCACAATGATCAGACCCAGCAACCGTTAAATGATGTAGACAAGCTTGGGGAAACAACCAACACCAATGTTTAGTAGCTAAGGCACGGTCCAATCGTTCTTGAATATGAGCTCGCCCACTTCGATGGTTGCTCCATGTGAAGGGATACCCTCAAATCCCAAATCTATTAGCTCACAATCATGCACCAGGGATAGAAAATTCTTCAACACCCAAGATGGTTTTGGATTTGCCCCTCATTTTTCTAGAGGTAATAATAGATCATTAAAATCACCGAGGAGAAGCCATCGATCTCCCCCCTATTGTTGCATAGGCTTAAGATAGGCCCATTGAGCCGCCCGAATACCATCATCAGTACTAGCATAAATGAAGGTAAGAAACCATGAACCTTTACCGGTGACAAAAAATTCCACCGTAATTTGATACTCACAGTAATCCATAAGGCGGAATAAATGTTAAAAGTTCCAAAAAACAACAATCCCTCCGGCTGCCCCAACCGAGTCCACATTCCATACAAAATTCACTTTTAACCGCCGTTATAGCCGCTGCAATTTTCTTAAGTTCGTTTTCGTTTCAAGTAGAACAACAAAATCCGGACAATGCTTGCTATTAAGGTGCAATAGTTGTCTAACAGCAAGAGGATTACCTACCCCTTGGCAATTCCAAACTAAAACCCGTAAAGGAGGATGAGGTAGAAGGCCGGAAAACGCCACGCCAAGATGAAGAGGAGCACCAATTGCCTTCGTACCCGAAGGGGAACCTTGAACAATATCACTGAACCGGGGTAGCATAACACTGTACTGTGGGGTTGGCAAAACCGTCAGAGCTGCACCACCACACAACCCACCAACCAGATGAAAACAGAACAAAACAAAAAAATTGGAGAAACAGTCACCAAAATCGAACCGAAACGCAAGAAGGAAATCAAAGAACAACGATTGATGCAAACAAAAATGCCCCAGTGGAGCAGACCTGAAAACAAGACCCCACAATACCCACCAACCACAACCAATTTCAGCAATCAATTGCAAGAACACAAAATTGGCAAAACAAGAGCAACTGAGAAGCAAAAAAGCAGCCAGAAATCACACACCAAGCAACCATCAAGCAAGCGGAAAAATAAGCTTCAACCATCAACACCAACAACAAATCCATCCCCAAACACAAGATCATGGGACACCACTTCTCGATAAAACGAGCAAAGCACATATCACAAAGAAACCTCAACGGCAGCGAGGAACAATTACTCGGCTGAACAAGTTGGGGAAGGAAAGCCAATCACCAACAACAGCCACAAAATCATCCGCAAACAGAGGATCAAATAACACAAAGCTCAACGAAACGAGCCAACCTCTGAATCACAGAGGAACGTCGACGGCGACGAGGAAAGGTTATTGTTTAAGGTGAGAGAAAAAGGGAAAGTTCTAGAGAGCGCCACGTAATGATGATATTCAGGAGCACGAAAAACGTTACATAAATAGTTACATAACACTAAAATTATTATGTAACGATGAGACGCACAAATACTCAAAATTCCTACTCAAATTGGCCCATTGGGAACATTAAAAAGAAACAAGGAGCATCTAATTGTTGAATTAAATAAGGCCTATTAATTTGTAGGGTTTTATAGTAACTTCACCTCATAATATATATATATATATATATATATATATATATATATATTTAATTCAACGAATTGTATAAAACTCATTTCACTTCGTAACGTTTTAAACTACATGGAAACAATTTATTTATTTTTGGTACTACATCAATATCACTTTTTTTTTTTTTATTACACTATATCCTAATAAAAATAGTAAAGATAATTATCTATTAGCTTGAATTTAGGCTGGGTTGTTAACTCTTTTAATCCAAACCAATTTAAGTCAAAATTCAACTGTCCAAACCCAACCTCGTTTTGGGCATGGAGTTGAAACCAAAGGTGAAAATAATATAATACTATATGATAATGTCAAGTTTTGACATCACTTGAAAGTAATACCATAGTGGAATGTCAATGAAATAAGCAATGTTGAGTAATAACATGAAAAAGGAGCTGATCAAAATTTAAAATTTTGAACATGAAAGATGCGTTTAAATAAATCTTTCATATCCTAAATTAACTAAATGATCATGCCAAGTGTTATTATGCAAAATACATTCATGGCTCAGGTCAAGATTTTGGTTTTATGACAGCCTTTTTTTAATATTTAGAAACGACATTTAAAAAAAAAAAAAAATTGTGAAAATTGGAGTATTTACTTTGCTTCTTTTTATTATTATTGTTTTTTTTTCACAAACTGTTTTTTCAAACTTTTATTTCTTAAATTAAATCTACAGGAATAAAAAATAGAACATGGATTTCTCTGTATATACATAAATATATTTGTGTAATAGAGCGTGGCCGGGTGCTATGATTGGCTAGAAATCCAATCACGGTTGGCACAATTTTTTATTTACTTTTTTTTTTTAATATTTTTTTGAACTTTTGTATAGTACTATATATGTCCTTCATTTAACAAAAATTTACATTCGGTGTCATTACAAAAGTGAGGTATATTACCCTACTTTTATAATGACACTAACTGTAATTTCATGAAAGGCTATAATTTCATGAAAGGGTGATGACTTAGATATAACAACACCAATTTTTTTACCTAAATAATATAACAACGCCATTTTAAAATACATTTGACACTTTTTTTTTTTTTTTTTTTTTTGGCAGTTAGTGCTAACTGCTATTGTAAAATTCAATCAAATTGTGATCAGCTTGGAATCAAATTTGGCCAATATTACTTACTAAAGTTACCATAGTATGGGTAAGACTAAGGTTGATCCTTTAATATGTTCCAATTGTCACCTTTAATTAAATTTTTAAAATTGACATTTCCATGTTGTTTTTAGGAATTCTAGCTTATAAATTTTGTTTTTTGTTTTATTTTTTTGGTTAACGAGAAATCCAGACGTCACTTTTGTCAAATTTAGCATCATATTCTATTTTGCAATAAAACAAACTTTCTAAAAACCTGCCTAAATTATAAAAGTATTCAATAATACCCCTATGTGATGATTTTTGGAGCATGTCTAGTCAGTCGAACATATTCGTACTTAAAATAGTTAGGGTTAAGTGCAAGAAACACCCTCCTCAAATACAAAAGGTATAATTTTTTTTTTGTGCAAATTGCCCCATAAGAGCAGGTCCAATGGTTGGCCTGTTGGCGATTTGGGCCTATTTTGACGACCCAATCTGCTCCATTGTGGGTCGCCAAAATTGGGCCACGTCATGCAAATTGGGGAATGGGTTGCCCTTTTCGGCAACCCTGTTAGCAAGCGCGGGCCTACCATTATTAATTTTTACCTTCTTACATTGATGATTAAACTTATAAACATTACAAGAAATTAGGTTTTTAGTAACGGTCGAATCTATCCCTAAAAGCCCTAAGACCGTCCCTAATGATCAAATTCGACCGTCCCTAATAGTTGTGCCACAAAAGATTTTTAGGGACAGTAAAAGTTGTCCGTCCCTAAAAATATCAACCTTTAGGGACTGACTTACTGCTGCAAATAGGACTATCCCCGTTTGATTTATTAGGGACGAACTTACTGTCCCAAATAGGTCGATTTATTAGGGACAGACTTACTGTCCCAAATAGGACTGTCCCCCTTTGATTTATTGGGGACGATATTTACTGTCCCTAATAGTTGACGTATTAGAGACGGATTTGTTGTCCGTCCCTAATACAATACTTATTAGGCACAATTTGTACTGTCCCTAATATGATTTTATTATTATTATTATTTTTAAATTTGTGACAATTATAAACTGTCCCTAATACTTGATTATTTTTATTATTTTATTTATTCTTTTTTCTGGTGGATTTGTGTTCTAAAAAAACTTATTAAACCAAAACATCCGAACTAAAAAGTACATACACCAACAATATCATTCTAGAAAGAAAAAAATAGATTATCACCACAATATGGTGCGAACAAACAAACTCTTAATCTCATGATGAAACTACAAATTCTCCAATTTTGTAAACAAGAACTAAAAGTATCTACTAGCTGCTTTAACATCAAATGGTTCCAAACATCCTCAAAAATTAAAACATCATTTTAAACTGAATGCAATCATGAAAATGCAGGCCAAAAAATACACGTACCAAAATAGTTAGAAATCAGCTAGATAGCCATCAAAAAGCTCCAAAATATATCTACCAAAATAATTATCTTTATAGTTCATTCAGGTGATTGTTGTGGTGGTGCTGGTGGGTGGTGCTGAAATTGCCACCATGTTGGTGGCCGCTGACACCAGCTTGGCGGGGCATGCTGCTGTTAGGAATGTGATGGAGAATGTTGATTTTGGTGGAACCGTGGTGGCGGCTGTTGGTGCTGTTGTTGCTCAAGGAGCTATTATTGCTGCTGTTGTTGCTGCTCAAGGAGGTGTTGTTGCTACTAAAGCAGCTTCTGAATTGTATCCAACTTCTCCTCCAAATTTGTAACTTTCTACGTAAGTTGTGCATTTTTTTCTTCAACATTTTTCACCCTTTTTCTAGAAGCCTCTTCGAAAGATGAGGATGCACGTTGATGGCTTGGAGCTACAAAACCATTGCCGAACCCACAACGATATCCCTTTCTGATACCTAATTGGTTTTCCACTATCTCAACATCATTTATCATAGGACTGGTACGATCAGAATTGTGAAAAACGTGAAAACTTCTCTTTCATTACATCCTGAAATTAAGATTAATGTAGTGTTACCATCAGTAGGTCAATAAAAAATTAATATTGCAATCAATAACTGAAACTTTTTTCATTTTAGACTAAAAGAAGGGTTCTCAGTTCTATGGTCACCTTCTCTTCACTTTTCTTCTGATTTTTTGCATTTATTCACTGTACTGATATTTCCTGCTTATTTTCATCATTTGTAGTATTCTGTTTTCATTTCAATACTGATAATAGGGGGAATATTAGGTGCAGCATTAAGTGGGCGAATAACAGATTTCTTTAGTTAGAGAAACTTAAGTTCTTTTTTGCCTTTCAATTATCTATAGGCTTATTTCAATTTCCATCAACACAATTGTGCCAACATCAAGCTTATATCAGTCTTGATTGAAATTTTATGGCAGGCAATGTCGTTTTCAGAAATTTTCTGCCTCATGGAATGGCTTGCAATATTATTTTATGAGGTTTGTGATCTTCTAATTTCCTACACAAGGTTTTCTATTTAAGTTCTGCTTTATCCAATCACCAAGGAGAACCAAAAAATAAAATAATTAAATTGTGATGCATACCTTCTAACATATCTTTATGAGCTGTACACTCTCTATGAATCAGCTTTAGGAAGAATGGTTCCTAGATAAACTTTAGGAAGAATAAGATTTTAATATAATCTTTCACAAATATTTAGTAAGAGATTGCTAAAATGACAAAAATAATATCTAGAAATTACAGTTTAAGCAGAAGTCGCCTTAATATGTTTTTATGGATTTTTAAAACTTGTTAAAAGGATGGTATGTGGCTAGACAGTGGTTTTCAGAAATGTGATACATCTTTTGTCAATGTTGTAGGAGCATATATATAGATGCCTCGTTATCATGCTTAGCATATATATATATATATATATGTATCTTCCCCCCATGAGTGTGTTTCTGTGTGTAAAAAGTGGTGGCCCTGGACGGCTCTAGCTGTGTAATCTTCCCATTTATTCGACAAAAAAAAAAAAAAAAAGGGTAGCTAGGTTGATACTTAGCTTATATTTCTGGTTTAAATTTAAAGGTGGAAAAGGGAATGGGCCTGATGCATGCTTGTCTTTATGATTCCAACCTACAAGTTTTATATATTGTATAGTGGTTAGCATGTGTTCACTGTCATTGAGAAATCTTAGGGGGCTCTCTCCAATCAAAATCTAATTATCATCTTTACACACTTATAATGCCAATGGGTCCCTTTGCTTCATCCATCATCTCCATTTATATATATATATATATATATATATATATATATATATATATATATATATACACATATTTAAATCGAAAGGTAGTTTTGATTATTCTTTCCAAATGTAATATATCTCATCTATCTAATGTCTTTATGATTTGTGCAACTTGGGTACTTCTTGGTGGGAGGACACAAATATGGTAGATGTACACGTACGCTACACACTAGATAGTGATTGCATTATATATATATATATATATATATGGATTAATTAATTAATTAACTTAATCCCTACACATGCATGTATGGGTCAGGTGAATGATGTTGCAAGGCGGCTTTGTTCCTTTGCTTTTGTAGTCCATCAATTCATCGAGTATATATATATACATATATATAATATACAGCACAAAAAAATGTGACACCGTGCAATGAACAAATAAATAAAAAACCTAAAAGGGAAAAAAAAAGGACTGAAAAAGAATAGCATGGCTGCATGACATCATAAAACCAGCTGTAGGGTCCAGCAGCCATGCATGTAGATTAAATGGGGAATTTCCAATACATGAAATAATCAAGTACACGATGAAGTAAACGTTTACTAAACTGACATATCATCTATGATATCAAAACCAGTTTAGTAACATCCAAAAAAATTCCTAAAAATAGACTGAAGTAAACTGATTTAACAGCTTTCAAATTAAGTTTTAAGAACACAAAAAAAATTTCAACATGTTGGTTCATTTATATATGCAGGAAACATATTAACTAAGACCCCGCTCCTGCTATTTTTTTTAATGTATTGGAGTGGAAAATTCATATATACTTCTACATGTGAGTATATATACTATAACTAATTTACTACACATACACACACAATCTTATTATCAAACAAGATGGCAATAATAACATATTAAGAAAAACAAAAAGAAAGTAAAATGGGGGGAAAAAAACTTACGTAGTTCTGCTTAGCTATCTCATTTACCCATCCAGTTTGTTCCCTAAAATGCATGTCCTCGTACATGCGAATAGCAGGACCCTCCTCAGGACTTTCAACTTCCTCATCTTCTTCATTTTGCCTTTCTTGCCTTTCTTGACTTTCTTTCAGCTGCAACACAAAATATGATTTAGATGGATAATAAATTGAAATTTTATAATTATTATTTTAAATATTACGTACATAAACATCATAGCGTCTGGCAAAAGACATCAATCCAGAAACATGAGGAATCTTATTCTTCAAGCGGTTGCCTTTATTTTTGTCACTTATTTTCTACATATCAATTCAAACAATAATACAAGTTAAGAAACCTAAATAGCTAGTCAATCAATGTATTATAATCAATGATTTCAAGTAAATAATTTAAAGCAAGTGGTTAAAAATCCGAACTTGAAATTCTAGTGACATCCACCAATCGCACGTTTTTCCCCAAACATCAATATCAATAATACCATAAGGATGCAAGCGTGCATTCTCAATTGGAAGATGCTTGTCAAAATGATTCTTCAATTTATATATATATTTCCTCAAACATTTAGACATTTCCTTAGTTACTTGCTTGAAATCAGTTTCATTGTCATGTGCATCCACTCTAAAGGTCACCTTTATAATAGACATTTAATTTAAGTTAAAAAGAGCCCAATAATTCACACAACAAATAGCATTGAAAATGTGAAAAATAAAGAGCAAGTCAACAAAACAAGTATTTTAACAGAGTGGTATCTCACTGCGAAAATACATAGGAAAATTAAAAATGATATAGTATTCCCTTTATGATATAGAATATAAAAGAACTCATTACCTTAAAATGGTCATAGCAGACCTGTCTCTCATAATCTAGAATTTTCCTCCACATTTTATATTTCAATAATGCTTCTTTATCTCTCTCTCGCATGGATGCCAACCTCAGCCGTCCATAAATTGTGATTTTTGCCAACGGGTTTAATATAACCCATCCCAAACTCTACCGAAACTGGAACATCCTTTCCATAGAGTTCCTTAGGTTTGTGTAGGGCTATATTCTTTGCTTTTCCACGCCCTTTTCGTACTGGGCCTGAAAACAAAATTATCAACTTAATTAAAACATAGTCATTCTACAAAAATGCTTGCAGTTAATTAATGATGAAGCATAATTATCACCTCCACTTGGTTGTGGCCTTGTCTGCAAAGTATTACCATCACCTTCCATAAAAAGTTGTTGACTTATTGAATTACTACCATCAGCTTCTCCACTCGGTTGTGTGGCAGTTGAACTTGTAGATGGTGTCTCAGTTCGAGTTTGAGCCACGCTTGACCTTAATATTCTACGCATTGGTGCCTCAGAATTGTCCATAATTCTGTTTACAAGCTAAAACGAAGAATCAAGTAATATTAAATCAAAATAAACAAGCATATGCAAAATACATTCTGAGTCATCATTTGATATTGGCTACTTTAGAACATAAACAGAAAATAAATCAAGTGACCTAAGATTAGTTTAAATAAATAAAAAAAGTAATGAAGCACACAACTAAACAAGGCTAATTAATTTCCAGCACTCAACAAATACTAAAAGATAAATATATTGAAAAAGAGAAGGAACTCAATTCTAGATAAAGTTCACATAATGTATTAATCATAATTCCAAAAAAATACGGCACATGCTCAACAATACAAATCTTTATATGTCATCCAAATCAGTATCATCTTCGGACAACAGTTCTGGTTCCTCATTTGAACTATATTCAATGTCATCTCCATCATCATCCTCATTAACCCAAAAGTCGCCATTAATTGCTGCTTCACCACTACATTTTTCAATCACTTCAGCATCAAGGTTTTCACCCTCTAAATCGTCCCTGTTCAAAGAGGGTGGATCATGTCCAAGTCCACTTCAACAATCCTATCCTCGATGCTTGGTTTGTTCTCTTGGTACGCTGCAGTGTTAAGCATTTCATCCTCTACTACTACTTCGCCCTCTTTTTCAAGTACATCAAATGAGTTTCTATTTGTTATATCTTGAACTACCTCCCATGTCCCTTGAAATTTGTTGTCTTTGACGTAGAAGCATTGTTTTGCTTGATTTACTAACACAAATGGCTCATTTTTGTAAGCTCTACTGGCTACATTTATGCTCTTAAAATAGGTATCCTCATGTATACCAATCCTAACATCAAACCAATCACATTTGAAAAGGAAGATTTGTTTACCCAGTTGATATCGTAACTCAATGATATCTGTTAGTTTACCATAGTAATCTTCGCATTCTCCTTTCACTAACACACCATAATTCTGTGTTCATCAATTTTGTTCCCTTTCCTTAGTATGGAATCTAATCCCATCTACAATACAAGCAGAATATCGACTTACTAGAGATCCAGGTCCACACACTAGGGAATACAGATCATCACAAGCTGTATCCTTTTGATGATGACGCATTTTCAAGATCTATTGAAAAAATTGTAGTGTTAAATAAATGATGACACATCATTTTCATTAAATAAAAGAATTTGATTAATTAAGTCCAATATATACATGACAGACTTACTTGTGTTTCGAACTATCTAGAAAATTCGTTTGCATGTCTTTGAGGAACATTTCGCGGATCTAATCTCTCAAGTTCCACCTTGTGTTTTCAAAACAATTAGATGGTGTTAAGATAAAATTATGTACATGTATTAAGAAATAGACTATATATTCACATAAGATGACAAGTAATAAGTTATCTTCGTATGACTCAACTACTGCAGAATTTTGTAACACGTACAATCGGGCCATCTCCATGTCCTCACGAAACAATATCTCCAAACTTTGCGACCCTAGAGGTCGAACTACTTCCTTTAGATCTGAAATAGTGGTCCAATTATTATTGCAATCCCCCTCACTATTTCTTTCTTCTCAATTGAACCGTGTCTCAATCCCTCCGAGAAATTTTGAACAAAATGTCAAGCATTCATTGTCTAAGTAAGCTTCAGCAATGGACCCTTCAAGACGTGCTTTGTTACACACGTATAGTTTGAGGGTATGCAAAAATCTACATAAGCATTAAAATTATTACAAATATTTAAATATAACAGACCATTAGAACTTGTCATAAAAATAATGTTTGTGTATTAAAAAAAATACAGTACCTTTCAATGGGGTACATCCACTGATATTGTGCGGGGCCAGCAATAATGGCTTCACGCGGCAAATGCAGAGCCAAGTGCACCATAATGTCAAAAAATGACGAAGGAAATATCATCTCCAACTTGCACAGTATAATAGCAATGTCCCTTTCCATTGCCTCTAAGACATCCACTTTAACAGTTCGACAACACAATTCCTTGAAGAATATACCAAGCTCTACTATTGCGTTACAAATATCCGAATCTAAGAAACTTCGTATAGTTATGGGGTGGAGGTGCTATAAGAGAATGTGTGAATCACGACTTTTCAATCCAAATATCTTATAGTTATTAACATTCACACACCGACTTATGTTCGAGGCATAGCCATCTGGGAACTTAACTGATTTTAACCATTCACACAATTGCTTTTTATCATTCTTTGACAATGTGTAGCGCGCTCGTGGCATCTCAAATTTTTCACCATTACGCTTGACGTGTAGTTCTTTTTGAATCTTCATTCCTTCTAAATCCAACCAACTTTTGAATGTACCCTTCGTTTTTCCTTCAATGTCCAATAATGTCCCCAACACATTATCGCATATGTTTTTCTCTATATGCACAACGCCTAGGTTGTGCCGCAACAAAAGGGTTTGCCAATAAGGTAGTTCAAAGAAACTACTCTTCTTTGTCCAGTTAAGTTCAAATGTTTCACGAGTTCACTTCTTGTTATTTGGTCCCTTTCCGAAACTAACCTCGGGTATGCAGTTAAGTTGTTCCAAAATATCATCTCCTGTCAACTGCTTTGGTGGCCCTTTCTCTTGCTTCTCACCATGAAACTGCTTGTACCACTTCTTAAAAACGTGATCTAACGACAAAAACATACGACTTCCCAAATAACATAACTTCCGACCGTGTTTCAAATAACAAGAACATATTTCTTCGTTACAATTTGGACATGCTAGATAACCCTTCGTCATCCATCCAGAAGCCATCACATAGGCAGGAAAGTCAGTAATGGTCCAAATCATTGCCACATGCATTTTAAAGTTACATTTACTGTAGACATCATACGTCATCACACAATCCCTCCACAATTCTTTTAACTCTTCAACCGAAGGCCACAGGTACACATCAATATCATTACCAGGCGAGGTTGGACCAAGAATAAGCAACGACATGAACACATATGGTTCCTTTATACATATCCAAGCTGGCAAATTATAAGGCATAATCATCACAAGCGACATACTATAGGAATTGCTCATGTTACCAAATGAATTGAATCCATCAGTTGCTAATCCAACACGAACATTACGAGGATTAGCAGCAAACTAACTATGCTTATTATCAAAATCCTCCCAAGCTTTTGAATCAGCCGGATGTCTTAACTCATTTGTCTCCTTCACACGTTTCTCCTTATGCCACTACATATCTAAGGCTGTATCCTTCGACATAAACAACCGTTGAAGTCTTGATTTCAAAGGGAAGTACCGAAGAACTTTTTGAGGGACTTTCTTACCCTCACCTTTGTGAGGTTTATACCTCGACTCACTACATTGTGAACAATTTTCCTTACTAGCATTCTCTTTCCAAAATAGAACACAATCATGTTTACATGCATGGATACACTCATATCCGAGACCCAAATCTCGCTTGTTTCAAAAATCATTGCCACATGCATTTTAAAGTTACATTTACTGTAGGCATCATACGTCATCACACCATCCCTCTACAATTCTTTTAACTCTTCCACCAAAGGCCGCAGGTACACATCAATATCATTACCAGGCGAGGTTAGACCAGGAATAAGCAACGACGTGAACACATATGGTTCCTTCATACATATCCAAGCTGGCAAATTGTAAGGCACAATCATCACAAGTGACATACTATAGGAATTGCTCATGTTACCAAATGAATTGAATCCATCAGTTGCTAATCCAACACGAACATTACGAGGATCAGCAGCAAACCAACTATGCTTATTATCAAAATCCTCCCAAGCTTTTGAATCAGCTGGATGTCTTAACTCATTTGTCTCCTTCACACGTTTCTCCTTATGCCACCGCATATCTAAGGCTGTATCCTTCGACATAAACAACTGTTGAAGTCTTGATTTCAAAGGGAAGTACCGAAGAACTTTTTGAGGGACTTTCTTACCCTTACCTTTGTGAGGTTTATACCTCGACTCACTACATTGTGAACAATTTTCCTTACTTGCATTCTCTTTCCAGAATAGAACACAATCATGTTTACATGCATGGATACACTCATATCCGAGACCTAAATCTCGCAACAAGCTTTTAGTCTCATAATGAGACTTTAGTAACACATTGTTGTCGGGAAGCATCTCCTTAAATGCCATAAGCATCATGTCAAATGCTTTGTTGCTCATTCGAGTCATAACCTTCACACGGAATAACTTTAATATCGCTGACAGCTTCGAGAATTTTTGACAACCTAGCCACAATTCACATTGTGTACCCTTTAACAATCTAGCAAAATTTCCTCCTCCTACATCAACTTAAGGCGAATCTTCTTCTTGTTGTGCATTATTGAAGTTTCCCATTTGTACGTTATCCAACAACTCAAATACATTATCTACATTTCCATCTTCATCATGGGCACTTTCCCCACTAACATTAGCATCAATATTAACATTATTGCTGGCTTGAGGAACCTCCCCGTGATATATCCAATTGGTATACCCCTTATCCATCCCATCACTCAAGAGATGTTGCTTAACCTGTTTAATTTTAAGATATTCCTTGTTTTTGCAACGACGACATGGATATCGGGTAATACCGCCTATCTGTGTATGACGACTAGCTACCTTAATGAAGTTTTCTATGCCATCAAAATAGGTTCGACTACGACATGGATATCGGGTAATACCGCCTATCTGTGTATGACGACTAGCCACCTTAATGAAGTTTTCTATGCCATCAAAATAGGTTCGACTACCCCTAGTGTGATGATGAATCCAAGACTTATCCATGTAACTGGCATTTTACATAAAATAAAATAAAATAAAATAAAATAAAAAAAATTAGCATGTAGACGGCGAATGCATTTTCTAATACACTTAAAGACTGGCCTTCAAAACCAAAGTAGTTAATGCATGTAAAGAAACCAAGAGAAACTAAAAATCTGTGTATATTAAGTACCTCTCTTCAAAACCAAAGTTATTTTTATTTTCCAAATTTTTCTTATTTACAATGCTTTTTCGTATAAGTAATAAATCCTAACACTCTTCCAACTAACATAAAAAATAAAATGAAAAATCAATCCAAACTTTTCCAAAGAAGAAACTAAATGTTAACAAACATAATCTGTAAGTGGAAAACTGTAGACCAAAAATTCAGCATAAAAGAGATTAAATGAACATTTGGCATATCATGCATGCAAGAGTTCGATCATAATCAAGTTTAGGACTTGTATAATATAAACTTTGATTAATTTAGTCATATTTTCATACTTCGTTATCTTCTTTTGAAGATGAGACTCATGAGAGAGTTTTAAATGGAACAACAATAATGCCATTTCTTAGTTTACATAAAATAAAATAAAATAAAACTTAGAAATTAATCTAAATAGAATGTAGCATTATTATTGATCTAAACTTAAATGTAAATGAAATTATTGTAGGTGCCACAATTTTAAATTATAAACTTATAAACTTTTAATAATTTCAAACATTCAATATATTAAAAATATAAGATATGTTGTGTCTATTACAAGAACAAACTAGTTAGGTAGGATGAGGAGACGATCACAGCTGTAGTGGGGGAGTAGTGACTAATATAAAATGTTTTAAAAAAGTTAAAATAAGGTGCATTACATTGTAACATTTATTGAGTTCTCCGGCTTTTTTTTTTTTTTTTTTTTTTTTTTTTTTTTTTTTTCCTTTTTTTTTTTGGTGGGAGGGGGGCGGGGGGGGGGTACAACTACTGAGAGGACCCGATCCTATGATAAAGACTATAACTCGGCGGGGTAAACCCAAAGCCCAATCCAAAAAAATTCGGGTTTTGGCAATGTTATTTGGAATTTGATCTAGGCTTGGATTCATCCATGTTTAGCAACCCAAAATCCAACCCGAACCTGTCATGAATTAGCTAACATTTTTTTTTTTCAAGGTAAAAGTGTTAGATGAGTTAGAAAGTTAAGCTAGATTCTATTATTTTCCTACATTAATGCATATTCCTACATACATGGTTGAGTGTGGTGAATGTATTTTTTACCTTCATTTGCTTTGTGATTTGTGGTCAAGAGATCAAGTTGGAAGTTCTCCACCTGGTTTAAGAACTCTCTAGGACTCTGTCATGTAGAATCTAATCCATTGGAAATTTTCCAACCTTGTTTTGAGATTTTTGAAAGGTTTTGAAGTTCAATCGGTTGAAATTAATCGGTTGCACATGTCATGTTGTAGAGACACATTATTTTTGGATATATTTTATATTCTTTTTCAAATAAAATTAGTTGAGGTGTCCAATAGAATTTTGACAATACCTTTTAACTTTGACTTGAACAACGAGAAAGTATTAAATATCTAGAGACCGGGGTCATTCCAACCCTTGAATGTTAGTTTGCAATAATTCAATGAATATAGAATGTTAATACGAATTTTTAATAGCCTGTTGCGTGAATTATATATGGATTAATTGTTGTAGCCTTTTTCCTATCTAAACCCTGTTAACCACACACCCTTGGCATTAATATCAAATACAACGAAAACTAGACAAATCTTTCAAATTAAGTGTAGTCCTTATCATTTATCCCCTGATCTTGTTAGTTGGAGTGTATGAAGAAATCATAGAATTAACATTAGCACAGTATACAAACAATTTAGCATAAATTTGTGCACGAGAGTTCCTAAATCAATACGAATCATTAAAAAAAAAAAAAAGTCATAGACATTATCCATCTATTAGATACAGAGGTTCTTGCTAAAATCCAATATCCAAAGCATAGAGTATTTATGAATTTTCTGTTTTAATCCTATAAAAAACATAGCAACAAAAACAAATATACAGATCTAAGAAGCAATGGAAAAAAAAATTAAATATAAAAAATAAAAAACACTTACAACACCAGTAAAAGAATAAGTAGAGACACTGAACTTCTGGTCGCTCTGGTAGTCCTAGCAGAGAAGATCTGCGGCATGAAACCAACAAGCAATTCATAGAAAACATTCCAAACTATCAATCCAAACAACTAAGACAAATGAACGGGATATTCCAAAAATATAAAGGACTGGCACTTTACGTGTTCAACTAAACATTGTGAGAAGATGACGGACCTGTTGCAGGGAGTGTCTAGGGTGGGAAAGTGGGTGAGATCAGAAGAAAAAGAAGCCAGATGATCGCAAGTTGTTCAGGCTTCGACCCAAGCCGATTTGTACCACAAAAACAAGGAAGACGAAGAAGAATCTTTGTCCACCATTGATGGACTAACGTTACTGCCTCTCAATTGAATTGAATTAGATGTTCACCCAATTAGACAAAGAAGAAGCCAATAAGCTGCAAATTATATACTACTAAGATCAATCAACAAAACTCACAAAAAAAAGGACTTTCTAGCAAGAAAATTAAAAAAGAACCTTAAATATGAATACAAATTTTGATTGGATCTCAAAAAAAAGAAAAAAACTTTTCGGCGTAAAGAAAAAGAAAAATACTTGGCAAGAATAGCAAAGAAAAGCTACAAAGACCTTAATTACCAAAAATACAAAAAGACATACGAATAAATTTTAACAATTTTCAAAAGCAAAGGGTCACTAATGTCTTTTGACCAAAAACAGGTCCAGTACAACAGAAAGGCTACTAAGACTTAGCTGTCACAGAATCTTTGTATAAACCCTAAAACTGTGTTTATCTTCAACTAATTAACAATTTATTCATATATTAATTAAAAAATATATAATGAATTTATAAAAAAACAAAAACATTTGCTCGTACAAAAAATAATTAAATAAACGATCATAAATCGATACCACATTCACATAATCAAACCTGGCTCAAACAAAAACAATATCGCCAATAACATTTATATTAATAGATTAATATATATATATATATATATATATATATCGAACGCAAAAAATTGACGAAACAGAAATGGAGGTTGGATTTTTTATTTTATTTTATAAACTTCAACGCAAAAAATTGTTATCCCTAAAGGACTATCACCAATACCCTTAATGCTAAATCTTAGATTTTACAGTGATCATTTATGCTTTAAAATGAACTTTCTCTAAAATCAATCACACGTTCGTTTTCAAAAACTCGTAGCATGCTTGTTCTAGCCGTTAGAAAGACAAAAGTTTCCAAATATCAGACAATGGATTAGTTTGAAATTCATTAGTTGTCCCAGCACTAAGCTCTGCTCTCTCAAATATTTGCTAGAGCCTAAGCATAAACAACATGAATGTTCAATCAATTTCAAAAAGTTTACTGTATCAGAATGATCAAAATAATGTGGTTGGACGTGTAGGTATATAACAAGCTCTATAAAAAGAAATAAAAATCAAATAAATAAACCACAACGATATATTACACAAAACAAAATGGCATCAAAAGTGACAAGAATGCAGATTCCCTTTAGAAATTGTTCACTATATGCAATGTATAAAACCACATAGCATGCGCACACACACACATGTTTTAAGTCCATAATGCATTAATCACATAGACCAAAAGTTGAAAGTGTAACAAAGATCAGAGAGGGTATAAGTATCAAATCTATTGAACTGATTTCTTTTAATTTTTGAACAAAACACATTGAGTCAGATATAAAAATACTCTACAAATAACACCACACACACAAAATAATAAATAGAGAAATAACTGTAGCCTCACCAAGCAACTAAGCAAATATACAGATCTAAGAAGCAACGGAAAAAATATATATATATATATATCAAAAATAAATAACACTTACAACACTAGTAGAAGAGTAAGTAGTGACACTGAACTTCTGGTCGCTCTGGTAGTCCTTGTAGAGAGGATCTGCAGCACGAAACAAACAAGCAATTCATAGAAAACATTCCAAACTATCAGTCCAATCAACCAAGATAAATGAATAGGATATTCCAAAAATATAAAGGACTGTCACTTTACGTGTTCAACTAAACATTTTGAGCTAATGCAAAATTTACAAATCCATTAAATTGACAACATTTTTGGCTACTCAAGTGGATCAGTAATGTTGGTGATTAGAGATTTTCTTAATTACACAATACACAAGTGTTGCATTCTATAACAATTGCTTCCAAAAAAACCATTGCCCTTCTGTTTTCTTGCCCAATAAAACGTTTTGAAAATTTAGTTCCAAAAGAAGATGGATACAACTTAGGCCAATAAATTATAATAATACTAAATTTAGTTTGTTATGATTTTTTTTTTCCCAAAAAAAAAGAGAGGTTAAAACCCATCAATATCATTTAGGTTAATGCAAAATTAGAATATTTCTAGAGCCATAAGAAGAATATTCAAAAATGAAAAAGCAGGGTTTGTGAGAAGATGACAGACCTGTTGATAGACTGACTTAGCTACCTCTCAATTGAATTGAATTAGATGTTCACCCAATTAGATGAAGAAGAAGCCAATAAACTGCAAATTATATACTACTAAGATCAATCAACAAAACCCACAAAAAACAAACACTCAAGTTTTATGCGTCTGAAGCATTCATGTTAATTTTATGTGTATATGTGTGTATATAGTGAATGTATAAGCAGTTAGGGTTCATTAATTGGGAAATAAGGGAATTGAGGAGTGAAAATTACCGGCGGTGGGATTAATGTTGAAGACGACTGAGAGTGTGTGGACTCGTCGATAGGAGAGTAAAGGAAGTCAGGAAAGATCATTTTTGGCTGCTGCTGTTTGGGGCTCTTCAAGACCTCCATGTTGATACCCACCTTGAGAAAGAGAAAACCTAGGGCTACGACTTCAATTTAAAAGAAATAGATCGATTGGGGAAGACCAAACCAGTTTGAGAGAGAGGACGGAAGGAGAAGATTGAGCTAGGGGAGCGCATCGAATAACAAATTTAGCAGAGTTATCCCTCGTGGATTACATATACAAATATATACTTAATTGAAAAGAAAGAGATCGGTTGGGGAAGATTAGACCAGTATGAGAGAGAGGACGGAAGGAGAAGATCGAGCTAGGGCAAGAAACAGTATTCAGACAAAGAGCACATCGAATAAGAAATACATATACAGATATATACTTAATTGACTAAAACTACATTGTTTTGATAGGGTAGTCTTGTAAAATTACTAGTAGTTAATTAAGGACGGTAACTTTACCATTCCAAAAGCCAATTTTGATAATTTTTTATTAAAAAAAATTATAATTTCACTAAATAGCCTTTTGGAAGGCTATTTTGATAATTTTTTTATTAAAAAAATTTATAATTTCACTAAAAATGGCGCTATGTTTTGCCGCCACCAGATTGGAGGGCGCGTTTATTTTTTTTGGTCTTTTAGGGATGAAAAGGTTAGGACTGTCACCAAAAAGAGTGTCTTTACGGATAGTTTTTCTATTGTCTCTAAGGGACTATCACCAATACCCTTTATTCTTGTAGTGAAAAAGTAAATCATCACATTATGTGAATATATTTAATACAATAAAAAAAAATTAAAACCATTATAATATATATAACACATCACTTTTTCTCCTATCTCTACCCTCGCTGTGGTGATTTAAGCTTCATGACGCTACATCCGCTACATCCACGGGGAGCATAGACTCATAGACTCCGGTTGTAGCCTTCTTTGCCTAAAGAAGAGGAAAGAGGATCGAAATGAGATGACGAAAGGGAGGTTGAAAAGGGTAAAGTGTTTACCTCTAGTTCCCAGTTAGTCCGTGTTGTAATGGTAAGAAGAGATAACACTTGCACAAAAAGTGCACATATAAGCCCCAACCAAAGACCCTAAAAGAAACAGTTTCGACAGAAGTGCATAAAAAAATTAGTGGAGACGAAAAGTAATAGATGCCACTAAAAAGTAAATCCACAAACAATTACCTTTCCTCCAATGTGGAAAACAAATGCTAAAAGAATAGCAGAAGGAATGCCCACAAGATAATATGACCCGAGATTGACAAAAGCACCCATTTTCTGCCATCCACATCCTCTAACAGAACCTAAATGTTAACAAAAACACATAAATTTAACTTCAATTTAAGAAACCAGTTGACCGGATTGACAATATATTTACAAGGCTTTATCTTTAGATTATTGGTTGAGTATCAGAGGCAACAAAATAATTTTTCTAATATTCTCTACTCTCCATAATTACAAGGTGAACTCTTTTTCAAAATTTTGTAAATATTATCTCTCCCATAGGGATCCATAAAAATATTTCTAACAGAATGAGAAGCAGCACATGAATCACCCCTTATGGTATTGCCATTTGAAACCTATTTGCAACCCTATCTATATATTTCTTTGCCTATAAATAATTTCACAAATTTGCCTAGTAAAGATAATTTAAATGATATTATAAATGTATAACAGACCTGAAAGAACACATTGGAGTCCATCCATGAAGTTGGATGTTGCAATAATTGGCATCATTATAGCTACATATCTAACCACTTCTTTTTCTCTACTGTAAGCATAGCCCAAGATGTTACGTGTCAATATTAGGACCGATCCAACCAAAATGCCCTCGGTAATAGCCACCACTAAGACGACACGCACTGCCAAACGTGCAGCTTGAGGATTCCCAGCCCCCAACTCATTTGAGACTCGTGTGCTATATAAGAAAAGATTATTGCATTGGAAGGTACAGATTTAATTAAGGAAAATGGGAGGCATGGTTTTAAATTCCAATTGCATAATCCAATTCAACCTGGTCCAACTCACACTAGAACAAGTGGTTGACAAAAAATTCCAAAGAAGAATTTGAAACGGTTCCAAATTGGAATCCATTGCCAAAATTTTAAAAATGATGTCAAAAATTCAAAGCCTTGGCACAGAGGAAAGAGAGATTCACTACATTCAGTATGGCATAACTGACCTCACGGCACCACTGAGTCCAACTGGGATCATCCAAACCGTCATAGATGTATTAAGGCTGGGGATGTAAATTAACATTATATTAGTAATTAAGATCATAGAGTATGTTCGAAAACAATTCTTCTCAATTGAGTGTTCTAAAAATTCAAGGAAGATAAATGGATAATTTTTACCAGATAGATAGAACTGAAGTTTCTAACCGGGGATTGGGTAGAAGACCAGATAATAGAACCATCATCTCAAATGACCACAACTCCATGCTGTTCTAAGTAATAGTAGAGATCACATTAATAGTCTATGAACAAGGTGACAGAATAAGGATCAGCATGACTATATACTTATGTAACATCCAATTGCTGAAAAAAAAAAATTTAAATAGAGGAAACTTGTCTGAAACTAAAAAGTAATTGTAACATTGCAATTATTGATGTATATTTTAGAGTTTTTTTTATTTTCCAGTCTTTGTAATGAAATGGACCACTAAGAAGTAGAAACTTACCAGACCATGACAGCTGAAGGGACTGAAAGTCTAAGAAAAGTGAGGATATTTTGCAGGGCCTCCTTCGAAAAACCAGTCCAAGTATTTGCACATGAAGGAGAGAACTTGACATAAAGTGCTAAAAATAACACATTGATCCAATATGAGATTGAATTTGCCAAGGCAGCTCCTCTATTACCGAGGCCAGATTTGAACACCAGGACCCAACATACAAGGATGTGGAGCAGAGTTGTAATTCCGGAGCTTAGCATCATAGGAAAGACATTGTTTTGAGTTTGCAAGAACCGGACGAGACATTGAAGAAGGCCGTATGCAGAAAGGCTGGGAATCATGAAATTTGCATAAAGTCCGGCTTCATCTGATATGGTAGGATCTTGGCCCAAGGCCTTGAGAATGGGGCCAGTGTATGCCCAGATGAATGCAAGGGGTATGCTCACAAGTAAAAGAATAAGCATAGCTCTTTGCATGTGTATGCCAAGCATATGATATTGCTTTGCTCCATAGGACTGGCCACAAAATGTTTCCAATGCACTTGCCATTCCCATCTACTCAAATAGGAAGGGAAAAAGAAAAAAAAAAGAGTGATGGGACAAACAATTCATAAACAATTTAATGCAAAATTAGTTTTTTCAAATGAATGGATTTCAAACAATAAAAAATCAATGCATTAAAATGGTGAAAGATCAAATTATTACACTTAAAAGATGATGTTACAATCAGGTAAATGAACCCACTAGCCCATTTCACTGAGAAACCTTTTAGCCAAACAATAGTGGAACACATTTTTTTATATACAGAAGAAACTATAAGATCACAAATTCACATCCAGACAAGCAAGTACGATATTACTAAAATTATCAAGTTTCCCACTTTTTTGAATATTTTATTTAGAAATAAAGAAAAATTCAACTTATTTTTCCAAACTGTAGAGAATCCTTTAAGAGAAATTCAACTTATTTCCAAGTTGCAGAGCATTTTCACAATATAAGATGTGTACAAATACACACACACATATATATATTTATTTATGGTTATCAACATCAATAAGAGAAACAAATTCACAAACAAGCTACAAAAAATATGTAGAATTAATGGATTTACTACTCATATATTATATGCACAGATACAGACACACATATATATATAAAACCATTTCTGAAACCTAAATAAAACTCCAAAGGAACACACATCAAAGAATAGGAGAATATAGAAGCCATTTAATTACCAAAAATTGAAGAGAAACCCCAACTTACCAACACCGTAAAACCTGTAACGGTTGCGAAAGAAGTGGCCATTGAAGCACCAGAGAGAGCCAACTCCCCAAGATGGCCCACAAACATGAGAGAGATGAGCTGTAAGCAGAATTGTAATAGACTGACACATATGAGAGGCCCTGCCAACCATATTTGCTTCTTCACTTCTTCTACAATCTCCTTCCTATCAGGGCCAGCCATGAGATTCTAAATATTTTGAGAGGCCCTAGGCGAACTTTCAAATGTGAGGCCCTTGAGTTTCACATGCGCAAAAAAGAATTATAAGAGTGTGAAATTTTAACACGATGTTTTCAAATTCTATAGCTAATATAATTGTGCCCTTGTGCATTGTGCACAAGACAACTAACTAATAACTATAAATTTACCACCACCACCAAATAATTATGCACCTGTACATAAAACAACTAACTAATAAGTATAAATCTATCACCACTAATAAATAATTCTGCGTCTGTGCAGTGTGCTTAAGACAACTAACTAATAATAACTATAAATTTTTATCACCACCAATAAATAATTGTGCACATGTGCAGTGTGCATAAGACAGCTAACTAATAATAATAAATTTATTAATTAAAGTGTGCGAAATTTTCACAGGCACAAAATAAAAAATGAAGAGAACAGAAAACTGCAGCTTCATTTACATTCATTGTTTATATAGCAACTAAAATTTGATGATTATAGATAACAAACATATGTGAAGATGAGGTGACTATATATATATATATATATATGAGGCTGAACTTGTAGTACTGAAGAAGTAGTGGGACTTTTAGGTTATACGTGGCATCCACTATCATATATAGTTTTGTCTTTCACTCTTTATATTAACTACACTATAATTTGTGTGTTTCTTTTGGGAGCCAATTACCCGCAGTGATTGATTGATCATTGCTACAGAAGACCTGTGCAAATTAATAGAAAAAACCATTAACTTTTGTTTTGTTAAAGCCTTCTCTTGATTTTCCATGTGTTTGTACATTCTGATGGCAAGTGCTTTGACAGTATTATTAACTGAAATTCTAGCTGAGCCAACTTCATATAAAAATAAAAATAAAACTCTTAATTTGGCACTTTTAAGTATGAGCATAATTTAGAGATCGAAAAAGTTAATTATTACCTCAACCCACTAGAAGGCATCCTTAATTTTCGTCGGATTAAATGTGAAAATGCAAAAAATTATGAGGAAAAGGGGTATGGTTGCTACTGTTGTGAGATTGGAGTGGACTTAGGGAGAGGAAAAAAAAAACGTATCTGCAATAGATTATGGACTCGATCGCCATGAAAGACACATGTAGAAAGGCACACATTTATTAAAATACTAAGGGAACCATAATATTCATTCAGCTCTTGAAAGCCATCACACACAGTGACACACACAAAACCCTAGCTACTTTTCACTATTGGAATAAAGGTAAAGGCCCGAATCAAACGAACCAAAGTTAGAACAAATCAAATGATGAGATTAACGAAAGAAAGAAACATATATAAAAGATCGATTCATGCAAAAGGAGAGAGGAGAGAGAGAGAGAGAGGATGAACATACCTTGCGGAGTGTCGAAGGAGATTGTGCCGTCTGAAACTTGCCCTAACTTATTTTTATTTTTTATTTTTTATTTTTTATTTTTTATATACCCTATGAGGCCCTCTAAAATCTGAGGCCCTCTGAAAAGTTCATATTGGTAACAACTAAACAAGTCAACAACGATGATTATTTCTTTTATCGATAAACAAGGATGAAACTTTTGCATTTATCGACCTTTCAGTACATGAGCTAATATTCTGTGCTTCAATTTTGATTTGTTTTAAAAAACTGAGATTTGTTTTTTAGTAATAAAGCGACATTATAGGTATGTGTTGACTTTTTGAACTGCTACAACAATATTATTTGTTCACATAATAAACAAAGATTAAAAAAAATCTGTCATTGGTTCATTTGTAGTAAAAAACAAAGATGAAAGTGACGCGCGCGCGCACACATATATATTTATATATTTAAACATGTACTCTTCCAGTTTGGTCACCTTTGTATTGGTAAATCTAAAGATGTGATATCTGCGATGAGAGAGATTTTAATAATGTTATGCTAGTTTTGAAAAATATGAACAGTGATAAAACTTAATAATTTATGGGTTAAGTTGTAAAATTAGTATCTTCATATATTGATTAACCAATGACAAATGAAAAATAGGAGTAGTCACTGCGCCATATGAATGATCTTTGGTTACCTGTTCTATATATTTATCAGACTGAATTTATTAATTTACAGAAAAACATATATATATATATATATATGTTTTTCTGTAAATTAATAAATTCAGTCTGATAAATATATAGAACAGGTAACCATATATATATATATATATAAAACAATACAAATAGGAATGTTCGCCCATATCATGAATTATCCAAATATGGGTTTTTCATTAATATCTAATATAACTTGTTTTCAATAGGTGATATTGAACCTATTATAAGATTTAAATATCAATTTATTGTTCAAATTTGATAAAAAAGATTTTGAGAATAGATTTCTCATCAAATTCAATTTTATTTCATACTCAACTTGTAGACATTTACTTTTTCATATATATATATTATCTATTAAGGATCATATTGTGTAAGCCTTTTTTATAAAATTTTATTGTTATTTTCAATTTCTTTTAACATATTGCAAATGAATTATGCCCTAAACCGAAATGGTCAACCAAAGTGTTTGCATCCAATGCAAACACTTGTACTGTCTCCTATTTATTGACTTGCTTAAGCTATCTGGATATGTGGATTAATATTCAAAAATGAAAGTTTTATTATTTTTATTTATCAAACCACCTCTTGATGAAGCAGAAGCACCCAAAATTTTTTTAGACAGAATCATATATATATATATATATATTTTCGGTTCCACACGACAATATCTTCCACTTTCTTGTTTACTTGAGATGTGTGTTTGTTTTTTTTTTTTTTCCAACCATGCTAGATGTTTTAAACTACGCAGTATTCGTTATCACACTTTTCACTCGTGATGCAAAGGTTGTGAAAATTGTGATAACGAATACATGTCTACCGCATCATTTTGTTACAACTCCTACCCACGGACCTACACTAGATATGTCTAGGCAAGAGAGACACCAAACACACATTTTTCTCTTTCACATTTATGTGTAGACCCTTTGGGTCTCTTTTTTATAATTACATAAAATATATATATATATATATATATATATAATATTATGTTATAGATTATAACATGACAACTAATCAATGTCTTACATCACCTATTCCCAAGTAATTCAATCAACCTAAATATTTAATTCATGATTATTGATCAAGTGATGTCTCTTCTCCTTTCAAAGGAAAAGGTAAAGAGGGTTAGGGGTTTCCAATTTTCCTATAGACAAAGTTTCTTATCAAAAAATATAGGGTGAATTGTAAATAACCTCCCTGAACTATTACTCACTTGCAAAAAAAAAACTCCCTTATGAATACTTTTAGCAAGAAAACCCCCTCAACCATATGAGGGAGTATTTTAACTTAACACCGTCTAATGATTTTTTGAGGCAAATTTTTTTGACTAAATTACCCCCGGATTGGGTCATTGTTCAGTCCTCCAATAAATAACCCAAATGTTCAGTCCTCCTTCTTCAACAGATCCGTGGCAACTGTAAGAGAAGAGATCGCCGGAAAATGGGTGGAGTTTCGGCTCTCCGAATACCTCCCAAAACTCATTATATGGGCAATTGACTACTTGAATTGCTTTTCCCAGCAGAGAATGATTGATACTTTTCTTTTTACAATCTCAAACTTGACTAATCAAATGTGAAATGCAAACAAAGAACAGCAGATCCATCAGCGCCCCCAAGCGAGAGAAGTCAGAAAGAGATCTGAGATAACTATCTCGTGCCCAGAGGATCAGAATTTCTCTCAGCTAGAGAATGAAGTCAATTAATATATTCTGATCCCATCACGACATATGCAAAGCCCAACCACATGCCGCAACCGGTGACAAGCTCTTCGCCGAAGCCCGTGAATCCGGTCTCGACATCCGTTATGTCACTGTCAGCGACGGTCTTCCTCTGGAGTTCGACCGATCCATCAACTTAAATGAGGTACTGGAGGCATACCTCCATCTTTTCCCCGCCATGGTAGATGATCTCATCGGAAAGATAGTCCGGACGGCGGACTAGCCTATGAATTGCCTAATCGCCGACACGTTCTACGCTTGGCAGTCGACGATTGTAAATGTAACGACTCAAAATGATACCAAAATAATAATAATAATAATATATAAAATTTCAGCATGACCTCGGCAAAAAAAGTTCCTCTATAACCTGTTGAAATACATAAAAATGCAATGGCCTCATTGGCCTTAAAACTAATTTATCATGTCCCAACGCATAATGCAAATAATATACCACATTCCCAAATGATTACATACATATAAAAATGTCATGTTCCTCTATCTCATCCAAATAAGGAATCACCAGTTTACTATCTAGTCCCATAATCCTTTACAAGGAACACACTTTAATTACATCAAGTTATAACCCATGAAATATAACTAAAATTTAAAAGTCCATAACTTACAACATTATACTAACTAAACTAAAGTTTCACAAAATAGTTAAGATTACATTTACAAAATATTAACGTTCTAATACAAAAAATAGCAAAATAAGTAGATCTCCAATCCCGTCTAAACTTATGGTGGATCATCGTCCGCCACCTCTTTTTCCGTGACCTGAAAATATTAATATAAAGGGGTGAGCAAATTGCTCAGTAGGTGGGGCATAAGATACACCTTTTGTAACCCCATGAATCCAAATAATGAATAAGAACAAGGGAAAGCGGAATCAAGCCATGCCGGGAAAAATACAACACAATTTCCTGGCTATAAATAAACAATGTCGTGCCATGAAATGTAATGCCATGCTATATCGCTCCCCATTTAAAAATCCCTTTCATTCATCACTTTTCAAATCGTCAACATAACCCGTCCCATGGCAACTCCATGGCAGCATGAGAGAAGGATTGGCTGCTATCCTTAACCCATAGCCATAGCAACTCCATGGTGTTATTTGGGGCCCAGATGACTCAACCACGCTAGGGCGGTCTCCCTAGTTCCCTCAAAGTCACATTAACGCCACGGACCCTAGGCAACTCCTAGGTGACCGGGTTTTCGCAAACCCTTTTATCAAAACTTTTTTTCCAAAAATTCATTTTTCTTTCATTTCAAATCAACTTTCCCATTTCATTGCCCAATGTCATGCATGAATGTCTCATATATTTCAATGCCGTACAATTAGAGAAATTCATGCTCACCAAGTTAATATTCAACAATATACATGCTTTACAACAAAAGAAAAATTCTAAAATATATTTCATGTTTTCTAATCACAAAATTTAGCATTAAAGACACAATGGGCATAAATTCTCATCAATTAAGCATGCTTCAGTTTCAAATACCAAATAACACATAATCACATATTTTATATACAACATTTAAGCAACTTTACAAGGAATTTATACAAATTGAGCATGTTATAACACAAATTAAGGAGAATAATTCACAAAAATCAAAGAAAATATGGATTAGAAACCCCTACCTCACTTAGATGCAAAAACCCCCAAAATGATCCCAAATTTTGAAATTCAAGGGTTGGCCAAAATGGTGAATTGCTCCTATTAAAGTGAAGATCACAACGAGCTCTTCGATTCGCCATAAACAGCACCAACAAATTCTTAAAATTGAGGGAGTAATCAAGGATTGAAATTCATGAAGAAAGAAAAAGAAAAATAAGAAAAAAGAGGGAGGGTGAGCTTTACGGGAGAGAGAGAAAACTGAGGCCAAATATGGCCTCTTGGCCACTAAATCAAATAAGTGGTGGGTCCAACCACTTAAAAAAAATCTTTCACATTTTTACTATATATATATATAATAACAAAACATAAACATTACATTCTCCCCAACTTTAAAAGATTTCATCCCCAAAATCAAGCCATACCTGAGGGAGAAAACAAGTCTAGATACTTGGAGCGAACCTCCTGTTCGAGCTCCCAAGTAGCCTCCTTAACTCCGTAATGCCTCCAAAGAACCTTTACCATCGGTATCATCTTGTTCCTCAATACCTTCTGTCGTGTGTCAAGGATCTGAATTGGTCTCTCCTCGTAGGAAACATCCCCATCAATGTCAACCTCAACACAACTCAAAACGTGAAATGGATCCGGTTCGTACTTCCGTAACATCGATACATGGAAAATATTATGGACTTTATCCATCTGTGGTGACAATACCAGTCTATTGGTAACCTCTCCTATGCGGTCTAAGATCTCAAAAGGTCCAATGAACCGTGGCAACAACTTGCCACTTTTGATGAACCTCATTAACCCCTTCGTGGAAAAATTTGAAGAAAAATGTGGTCTCCCACCTCAAAGGATAGCGGCCATTGATGAGATCTGAAAAGTGCGCATTTAAATCCTTAAGTTCGAGTATTCTAGAACCTTTATCTATCTTACTTTCCCCGTTTTAGACTAATTTTATGTTATTGCCCTTTTCAGGTGGTTATTCCCAAAATAAGTCAATTCAGCCAAATTAGAGCATAAAAGAAGCAATCTTAAGCTGAATGGAAGAATGGAGAAAAGTGGTGGAAATCAGCAATCTTTGATCGATCAGGAATATTTTCGATCGATTTCACATTGATTGATCTCACTTCACCAAGATGGATCAGACCCCTTGTCCTTATCCTCAAAGAATTTCCATCTTCGATCGATCCAACTTTCTTCAGATTGATCGAACTTCT